AGAAACATCCTTCAAATATGTTATTAATGATGATACAGATTTTGTCCACCACATGACAAACTAAAACTTTCCTTTTGGTGAATGATAGTGAGCTAAGCTAATTAGAGAAGAGTCAGCTAAAGCGTCTGTGGCTTGTTGTGACAGTAAAACGGTATTCTTATACTGCATTGTCATATCATATTAATGACTCATAAGTAACTTCAATAACAAATGTTAGGCATATGTGTTTATGCTTTGTGTGTCTGAAAGGAAAAATAAAATGTCAGCTGATATCTTGCATTTTTTTTTTTTTTTTAAACCGCTGGATATTGTTCTTGGTATCGTCCTTAAGAATCCTACATTGTTTGGATTCTGATTGTAGTAAATCGAAGGGATTTGTCTAGCTGTTCTCTGATAAGTATTCTGTACTGTTTCTCCTCAGTATCAGATGCAGACAGCAGTGAAGGAAGCTTTCAGCTGAAGAAGGAACATGCTCTCCGAGTGCTGGGCTACATCAGCTCCTGGACTCAGAGGTCAGTGCTGCCTGCATATGTAGGCTTCAGAAAATCAATCATCATGCTTCTGCTTTTCTTCATTGAGTTTGTGTGTGTGTGGTGTGGGTTTTTTTTCTTTTCTTTCTTTTTTTGTTAAGATTGAAATATCTGAAATTGAATCCCTTCACTAGCTGCTGAATTGTTCTTGCTGGTTTGTTGGTGTTCAGCGTAGTATTTTTCTTACACTGTGGGTCAGACTTTTTGGCCCATTGGTACCGTATTTGTAGATTTATGCTTTATTACTGTAAACAATTAACAAACAAGTCTTTTAAATAAGTGTGTGTGCGTCAGAGAGGAGAGGCTGCTGCTCCATGCCAGTGATAAAGTAATTTTTACTACTAGTTAAATACTAACGTTTTTATTTGAGAAGCTGTTTGGATATATATATTTTTAAGAATAGCAGGTAATGGCAAGTTAAACAACTCGCTTAAAAAAGCTTATTTTTATTCGAGTTTTTCTTTACATAGCCTCCAGTTATATGCCTGCTGCAGGGTTGAATACCCATGTATTCAGTCATGTTGAAGAACAGCAATCATAGTTCAGCTGCTTTTGAGCAAGGCGGTGAAGCGGTAGAGGAATGGAAGCCTTTGGTTTGGTGTCTCAGGTATCAAAATAACTTAGCTGTAATAAATCTGTAGCTCCATTCTCTGATAACCTTCACTTAGATAAATAAATATTCAAAATATGGTCTTCTGAAAACTTTTATTTCCAAAGAGAAGCATTCCTCTTTTGTGAGAGAAGAACACGGTCTAATCTGGGTGATGGTCGAGGTCAGCTGATGACAAAAGTGTCTTATATAGAAGGACTGTAGTTTATCATTTGTTTTTAGTCTGAATGTTTTTATATTTGGTGATTGAACTGAACATCCCAGAGTTGTTAAATCATTCATCCAACACTACCAAAAACTCTTTTCTTTTCTGATTTGTCTCTGAGTAATTCTTTAGTCTTTCTAGAGTTAAAATAGCAGACTTCCTGATAAATCAACAGTTTATTTCCACTCACAAGTACTTTATTTTTCTAGAATTTGTTAAGAAATTTAAAGCTGAACTTCCTTCTACCCTAATGTAATGTAACATGACAGTCAATACACTTGTTTGAGGAGAATCTAATCGAAGGATTTCAGCTACCTGCTTAGTTACAGGTCTTCCCTGAGGGGGACAGACACCTGTCCACCACCTAAGCAGAATATTCCTGGGTGCCTGGTCCAGGAGCTTAGTGACTTGATGGTGTTGTGCACACAGAGGCGGTTGCAGGGTCACCATTAGAAAATACTTGCATGGAGAAATCTTCTGAACATAAGCGCACTCATAGTCACAGATGTGACACAAGTGTTCACACAGGTGTACAAACAGGT